TACTGCTTCCACTCCTTTCACACCTCCGGAGACTGCATAATTGCCCTAGCAATATTAGAATGCACTCCATGTTACCATCAGAGAGAAGAAAATTACGTGTTTAGATTTGATGAATGAAATGAAATTTTCTTAAAAAAATAAATAAAAACTTACAGGGCATAAGAAATTTGCAATTTGAACTTTGTCAGATTCGTCTACATCTTCATTTGCAGCATCACAGAGTAGTTGTACTTTCTCTGAATCCAGTCCTATTACACTCACCATGGCACTTTTAGCAGCATCAGCAGCTCCCTATAGGTAACAGGACATAAGTATTACAAGGAAAAATCCAAGACCCATGGTCTCATGGATAGACAAAAAAGATCATTGGCTAGTAACAGACAGCTACCTGCATGGCTTCACCTCTTAATTTGACCAGCTTGAGTCCATCCTCAAAGCTAATATGTACAATCAAACCAGAAAAAAAGGGCTTAAAACATTAATCATTTATGAGTGTACTGTTGACAACCTCATATACAGCCTAACCTGTAAGTGTGAGAGATTCACACATTTACATGCTCAATATGCTAGCTTAATTAAAGTGTATTGTAATGTCATGGGCCTCAGGGCATGCAGGATCCAAAGAATGGGACCCATGGTAGAGTGAAGCACTCTTGCTCAATAAAAATCTAATGGAATTTTGCGAACATGGTGTTACTCCAATTAAGCGGTAAATGACATTCAACAACGACAATAATAAAAACTCTTAGGTTATTAAAACAGACGACTCACCTGAAAGCTCCAGCAAATGCTAGGGCAGTGTATTCTCCAAGGCTTAGACCACAAGTGACATCCACAGAATCAATTATCTGCTGACCTCCATCACGAGCACGGAGTACCTCCACTGCAGCTAAGCTTGTAACATATATAGCTGGCTGTAAAATGCAGAATTAAAAAGTCCTCTAAGATAATTATCAGATACGCAAAGAGTGAAGAACAGCTGGCATCATTATCCTTCAAATTGACAGCATACACATTTCAATCCAGTTAAAACCAGTGTTCTTACACCGATATTGTTGCAGCATCGTAGTTGTTAAAATGACCTTCTTTAGTCTCTACCAACACAGGAAAAGCATATTGGGCCATCTGAATAGACTTTTATCATGAATAAATAGGAATTATACTCCAATCTAGATGTTAACCTGACTAGTCAAGCTAGTTGTTTACACAAGTAGATTGCTTTTTTTCAATAGGCTACACATCCTGCACACCCCATCAATAAGTTCTAGCCAGGGCAGGAGTTATACTTGTAACCTATAGATCAACATTAGTGCCCCACACCAACTCACCTGCACCCATACAGGCAATGCTTCAAAAGACTACCCACGTGCAGGCCTTAAACTGAGAAAAGCACAGTGCTACAACAGCTTCTTCTATCTTATTAACCCGAAAACAAAAAATAGAAGACATTAGTAAAAGCATTAAGCCAGTGTACCTGACTTAGAACAGTGGAATCTAGCTTCTCTTTTGGTCCATTTATGCAAACATCCAGCAGGTCAAACCTTCACGCAAACGAAACATTCCCCATTTGAGATAAAATCTTGCTTCCAAGCTTCACATATTGTTAGCATCGAGACTAACCAGGAGGTTAGATTATAAGGTACAAGCCTCAAAATAACACATTCATTGAACCTACCCTAGAATGTCATTTGCTTTCTTGTACAAGTCTTCCGCAGCAGGTACCTTTTGAGCCTCTTTACCCATTCCAACTGCTTGAGCACCCTGCAACATAAAATTGCAGTATAATACATTGTCATGATCAAATGATTTAATTTGTGAGATGTACATTTTCAAGGAAAAATATGATTAAATTTGAATCATGTCACTAAAATCAAAGTTTATAGATCGACTTCAATAACAAAACTCAAGCAATCAAGCTTACACAACACTCTGACAACTAAGAAACCACATAATGGCAGTCTAGTAAAGCTAATAAATTCTCACATACCAGAAAAAAGCTCATAAACTCCTATACCCATATCGCAGAAAGTTGCATCCACAATTGTACATGTAAAATCTTAGTAGCTACATGTTTTTTTAACCAAGTCCTTCTTGTAGATTCATTTTAATGAAAAGCAAATTATCTCTTCTTATTCCTGGTTGTTTCCACTTCTGAATCTTGATAATCCACCTTCCAAAGAACCATTAACTATAACAAGTAATTGGTTGCAATAAACATAATTATCAAGTGTAATCATCAAATTCAATCATTTTGCAGTATAATAAGATATTTCATGCATTGATCCATGACACACACCCAAAATTGCTTACCATTATTGAATTTCATTCTATTGATTGGTTCTAGCTCCAAAGAACATATACATGGAGCTATGTCGATTTACGTACGTCTCATTAACTAAACGATCAGGTATACCACGCCACGTATCATCCCCTCTTTCCATAGAAGAGAGATAAAGAAAAAGAAAAGATATAGTGATCGCTTCTGTCCCACCTCAGAGTTACTAGATAATGACTTTGAGAAGACTGAGTGCTAGTTCCTTAACATCCGAAATAGAATGACATAAAGGATGTGTCAAAAGGCTTAGGGTGATAAGAGAATCATCTACAAAAAAAAAGAGAAAATACCTTGAAGGAAAAGTCACTCAATAAGGCTCTCATCGAACGTAAAAATAACTTTCAAGAGTGGAGGCATAGAATGAAAATGTCATTCTTTGGAAGTGAAGCACGTGACTCGATATGCTGATTCGACAGACATTACATATATTGACTTGACTCGACTCTCTTTCCTATTGACTCGAGGAAGAAAAGGTCCCCTATTATATTATCTGCAGATTGGAATATATTTTTACACTCTCAGGGCCCCTTATTTGTCTTTTGTTCTTTGGCCTTGACTTTCCCCCTCCCCCCTCTTTCTTAGAATTCAACATCTCTGATATGTTCTGGCATTTTGTTCGCCCACTCTTCATTCAGGGTGGTTAGAACGAGACTTCCTTTCCCATATCGTCTTTCATCCATTGGGAGGGAGGGATTTATGTCACCACAAACAGAAACTAAAGCAAGTGTTGGATTCAAAGCTGGTGTTAAAGATTACAAATTGACTTATTATGCGATTGCATGGATGCCGGTGTTTCGAAATCTTAGACTGACGTCTCTGCAGCTCTCTATGAGAGTTCGTGAAGCTGGTTTTCGTAGATATTCTGCAAACTCACCAATGCCCCTGCCACGTTCTGCACCCTCCACAATGAGCTATTCCACCCGTACTTAGATCCCGAGCGGAAGGGAGGACCCCTAATTCGTGGGCTGAGTTCGAATAATATGCTAGGTGACAATTCTTCCCATCTTCAAATCCACGGCCGCTCATCTAATATCAAATCAATGGGTAGATCTCACTTCTCTTCCCCCATACCATAGCCGGAAGGGATAGCGTATCCACAGAAGAGAGAGTACGGGCCCTTACCCTTCATTTAGTTTAGACGCGGCTCGAATGCCTTTATGATAAAGATTCCCAGGAGCCTAATGCCTCTGGAACAAATTTCAACTTTCCCCTACTATAAATCCAGCTCTATCACCAGCATTCCTCTTCAACCTTCTATACCAATTTTATTTGTCAACAGTAACATGAAGAACTAGTCAACCAAGACATCATCAACAACTTTAAGGGTGTTCATCCCCCTGCTAGTGTCCACACCACCACCCTGGCCATCCGTTTAGCTGCTCAGTCTATCTCCATTTATGTCCTTGGTAACATGGCTCGTGGCCATGTCCACCTAGTGCTCCAAGTCCTTCGTCAGCCAATTCAACGACCCACAAGCATGCAATCACCAAGTCTGAAAACACCACGACTTATACAGCGATGGTAGTGGTGTTACCTCCTATTCTACTTACCACAGCAACAAACATATCTAGCAATGTTACACATTGGGCATGACCTGTGGATGTTAGAGTTCCTGAGTCAATTTCTTCGTAATGTTGTTTTTGTGTACTTCAATCATCCATCATAGTTCAACATTTTCCTACTGATTAAGTTGGTTTTAAAGTTTTTCCTTCATTTGTTAAGCAAGGTTCGTATCTAGTTGTCAACCAAAGCAGTCATAATTTGTCAGAAATAAATGTCTTTTTGCATGTGTAGTTCAAAAAATATATATAATCCATAACAAGAGAGCTGATTGCATTGATATATTTCTGAAATCTAAAATCAACCGACAAAAGGATGTGAAAAATACCTAATTTCTAAATCACCTTAGGTTTCTTCAAGAATGGATTCTAGTGCCATCAATCAAACAGATGTTTCAAATTGCTCCAGAAATAACACAACGAAAAATTGCAATAACGTTGAACTTAAACGGACATGAAAAGTTGTGATTCCATATTTGTATGTTTTACTCAAAAATGACAATCTACTTCCACACCCAGTAGGCATGGGCATTATTAAAATCAAATTAGATAAAACAATTAGACAATTGCTAATTTTTTATTACCAAATGGTTTATCAAATGACTTAGATTGTTACATCTACGGATCCCCCACCTAATGGTAAAATCCACTCCCACATTGATGGTAAGCAAAATTTGGTAAAACATGTAGAATACACAGACATCATTATTCTTAATAGGAGATATTGGGCTGCCTTTGGCAATGGTAACATTGGGAGTGCATGAAGGAGCACAAGAAACTATTCACTGATTATGGGAGTTTTAAAGTAATGTAACCTTTCCCTCAATCCACAGCGTTAATTCCAATTTTCTTCCGATCGAACAAAAGTAAGTAATCTGAAAAGAAAATCAATCTGACCTGGCCAGGAAAGAGAAAAGCGCAGGTCGGTTTATAATCCAAAAACAAGGCATCATCAACGGCTGTTTGAGATCCCACTGAAACGCTCATGAAAACCCTAGATTTATCCAGATTTCGCGGACCAAAACCTCGAATTCCATGCTTAAAACCCAAAGAATTCGAACTCTTCAAGAACTCCGGACCACCGAACGAGACCTTCTTCAGAGAAACCGAAGGGAGCGCCACCGATGAACTCATTGTGGAGAGGGAATAGGAGAATGATATTGGGTGACTGAGGAAACGAGACGAAGAGGGTTTGAATCGAAGTCCAAGAGTGGGAAGAAGGTGAAAGAGGGCATGCATTTAAGGTAGGGAGAACATAGTAATTGTTGTTAGAACCAGCGGAGTTTACGAAGAGTGGGAGAAGTGTACATACGGACGTTTTAAGGTGGCTTCAAATCCGATGGAACCGGCCAACTACCTGGACGTAATAGTAGAAGTCGGTGACTTCTTAATTAGGGGTAGGCAAGAAAGACAAGTTTGATCATCAGTTTGAATTTGTGTACGGAGGAGCGACAACTAAACATTAAAACTGTGATTTAATGTATTATGATATTTGATTTGATTATGATTTAATTTATTATGATATTTGAATTGATTGTGAGACTTATTAAATATTAAAATTTAGTGTTAATTTAATGATTATACTAAAATTACAGTATTATATTAGTAAATTAAGTCAATTTTATAGGTTCAAATAGTATTATTCTTTTGTAATTTTTTGGGATATCTTTATGAGAGATTTATTTTTTGTGAATATTTTAGTCTTAGCGTAAATGATCTACTTTTAATTAGATTGAAAAAAAGATTAATTGAGATATGAGTAAATTGATTCAAATACTGTTAAACCAAAAAATAATAATAATAAGTCGGTGACTCGTGCGATTATATCATGTGACAACACCAATATGTTATAATTGAATCGATTTATACAATTACATCACGTGATAATACTGATATAATACAACAGTTAAACCCAATTTTTACTCCATCGATTGGAAAGGCCTTTTGGGTACATATCAATGCAAGAGCATCTCTGGTACGTTTTTTTTTTTGGTACTTAAATTTAAAATTTGGATAAAAATAGTTTAAAATACTTAATCAATACTAGACTCATATCCATACCAAAATGAAATGAGATTTTTTTTTTAAAATTCAAATCTTTAATGGTGAGATTATACCATTCTTTAAAAGATTCAATGATCATATTTTACCTTCATTTAAATTTAGATTTGTCCTCATTTAAATTTAAATTTCTCTTTCTTTAAATTTGAATTTATCTATTAGAGAGGTTTATACTAAATCAAATTTTTTACTCTTTTTTTTATTCAAATTTGAGTAAAGGTTTGTATTTTCATCAGAGATGAAAAGGATCACACAATCCCACTCCACATAAAGAAAAAATATTGATATTTTCATTATACTATCCTTAATTTCACTCTATAATAGACCATTCATCTTGTTTAGGTGAAGGGCCTACTAACAAATAATAAGTTTTATGTGTATTAATGTAAATGATTTATTCTAGAATAAAATTGAGTGAAAATAGAGAGAATTTAGATTAAAAAGTAAATAAAATAAATCCATCAAGATAAAAACAAAAGTTCTGATGGGCTTGTTTGTAGGCAAATATTTCAATGGGGCACACAAGTAGTGCGTTTAACTCGGGTCCAGCTCCTCTAATATCCGAAAAGGGGTGCTTTTTCCCCAAAATTAAGCTATTTTACACATGAGCTATGCGCTTGTGCCCGTTTAACTCGTACGAAAAAGTTTCTTGTGTTGTTGGGCTGTGGCCTGATTTGCCAAAAACTATGGTTCATGGCCTCGGTCAGTCTCACAGAGGTTTTCTCATACTTTAATATTTAAAAATCAATAGATTTAATAAATAGGTAAACATTAGGAAAATGAAAGCATCAGCCGAAGGACTAAGCAGGGCTCAGCAGACACTGGCCCCAAGTCCAGTCTCCTGTATGCACCTGGTCCAACTTTGTGAAGGTAATTCAAAAAACCATAAACTCGAATGTCTTGGACGGACGGAACTCTCATCTAACCCGTAACTATAGTTTAAGGGCGATTTTAACAAATGATTCCAATGATGGACCATAATCCCATAAGAATAGAATAGAATTCAATTGAATTAATTTATTAGTCTAATATACTAACTTAATCAAGTAACCGTACTTGCATATGCTATGAACTCCATGGTCCAAGTTTTATTCATCCTCTATTTAATGAGCCTACTGCACAAATCATCCCAAGAAACCAGAAGTTCATTCATGAGTTTCCATCTACTACATAAGTACAATCAAATCAAATCTGCTATTCATATACATATAAGTTGGCCAATTTCTATATTTTTCTCGGTAGAAACAATTACATCTTTCATATCAATGCAACCCCAAATTCTATCCTCATGGGATGCTTCTATTTTTGATACAAAGCTTGCCTAGCCTATATGTAGCCTTTTTCAAATGACGAAAACCAACCCGTTTTTGCCATTGTTGACCTCACCCTTCACAGATAATGTGAGCCATCGATAAATGGTTAATCTTGACTGCTATCAAATTTGACTTGAACAATTCTACAGGATATCTCCTGCACACATCCAAAACGACTTGAGCTTAACGAGAACAAAAATATTTGGACATAAATTACTTTTAAACCGTAATTGGTGCATGAGATGTTAAATCACTCAAGATGCAAAAAAGGATAACCTTAAGATGATTTGCAAATCATGTGGGATTTTGTTTAATTTTCTCATCATTCCTTGGCTTTTCTGAACTGTCTACGTATAGTCAATAACCTGAAGTTCACTGAATGTGTCCCTTTTGCTCCTTATGACCCTTGCTTTATTGTCTCTTATTTCTAGCACCTGATAAACAATGGACCAATATTTCAACTGTATTAACTTCGGTGCTACATATAATAAACTAATAAAAGTTGAGTTTGAAGAAATACAAAAATCAGTTGCACATGGTTTTCCAATGTTCAACAAACCGGAAACCATTCAAATTTGTTGCACTTAGATCAAAAGGTCAAGAATTCACCTTTCTGGAAGAGAAGATAGAACATGAACATTGATATCAATTTCAGCTATGGTAGGTGTTTTTTTTGCGCATCAAAGTCATCCACTCCTTTATAGGACATGAGAGCACGCAACCAAAAATATCACCATGATCAAATCTTTTTCCTTAAAAGTGTCATTCCATACAATCGACTATAGAATATCTAAATTAGAATGTGGTCTATATTTCCAATGCATCTTTTGCTATTATCTGCTAGTTATTGCTCAGTACAACCTGAGAAGACAACTAGATTTCCATCGAAACAGGAGACACTTATTAAAAACAACTAAAGAAAATTTAAAATATGCAAATATCTATTTTTGTAAAAAAATTACCCTTAGGATTGACACAAAAACTAGCAGCAATTTAATGGCAGTGTCTCTCTTCAGTTGATATGTGCAATCAGGGGTATGAAATAACACATTCTATTACCAAACTGCTGTTCAACCACTTCACTAACTCATCAAAAGCAGATGCTTCATTTCTTTACAGATGTGCAGACAATGCTATAAAGAATATCAGTTAGGTGCTTCACTTTTTTAAAGTTTGGCCCACTATGAATAGTTTACCTCAGGTCTTGAATCCAGAACTCCACTAGACATCCCCACGTCAATGCGCCATATGCTACAACTGTACTTACTGCATGACAACATAACATTGCAAGAAGTAAATCAACTGAAGATTAATGCAAGCCGCAATGCATAAGATTTTGATATAATCACAGACAACATTGCAGACAGATGATATAAAATTACCTACATCAATAGTTTCAGTAAATGAACAGTTCAGCAGGTAATAATGTTCCCATACCAATTTACTCCTGTAGTTTGAGGAGTATGTCCCACAACCATTGCCTTAGCTCCTACTGCTCCCAGTGTCTCTTCAAGAATTGCTTGGATCTGATGATTGGATAAATTAGTCCAAAAACTTGCCTAGTTTTGTATCACGCACCAATGTTTTTTCTGGGTGGGGTAGGGCATGGGGAGAACTTCCAGATACGTAAAAGCTATGAAGCATGGACACTCTCAGAAGGTGATGTATCCATGTCGGACACTGACACTCTTCGGACACGTGTCCGACACTTCTTTGGTGACGTGTCCGACACTTATTTAGACTATAAACAATAAACTGTATTGACAAGTGATTAATGAAACTTACAAATTTGACTAATAACTTGCATATAATTACCAACATAAGACCTGTTAAAGTTGTAATCAAAATATAACAATAAAAGTAAAAGACGTATAAAAGTTCTAAAAAAGAGGAATTGAGAAAATACGAGTAATCATTTAAATTATTTATGTTGGATACACGTTATTTATAAAACAATTGATGATTATTGAATATTATGATAATTTAGTCTAAAAATTCATACTAGATGACTAAACATAACATTTACAAATTTTCATGCATAATATATCATTATCACTATATTTACAATAATTTACATAATTTTATATAAATCAATATTATCTATTGTGTGTCATTAACGTATCCGTGTCCTACTTTTTTTAGAAATGTCGTGTCGTGTCCGTGTCCCATGTCCGTGTCTGTACTTCTTAGCGTAAAAGAAATATACATATCAAAGAGCTAAGCATCATTGAAAAATAGCTCATTCCTCATGTTCCACAGAATCAATAATTCAGACAAAGAGCTCTTGCATGATCAGCTATTAAATCTGTCGTCTTTGAACAGACTTATATATCCTTCTAGGTTTATGCAAGGTCCAAAACCAGGTTGATTCATGAAAGGTTTAAATCTGGCTGATTTTAGACTCAACAAAAAATAGAAGAAAACAAAGAAAGATTTATACGAAGATTCACAAAAACTAAGCTTTACTTGCCTGATCAATCTGATAGTCTTCCAGATTTGAAATATCTTTAGAGTACAAACGGTTCCAGACGACACTGTCGTAGCCCCTGGTGGCAATGAATGGGATTTGTGGACAACTATCAATCTCACTGAGGCCTCTCATCCAATCAGACACTTCCCTGTTCATCCTCTCTATGCCATAGGCAACTGCAGCAGTACCAGCAATCATATCAGTCATTTCACACAAGCAGTCATTTTAAAAAAGAAGAAGACAAGCCATAAAACAATTCTAC